GAGAGAGGAAAGTGGGAAGACAGAGAGAGAAAAAGAAAATGGAAAGAATGAACAAAGATAAAGAAAGTGAGAGAGAGAGCCCAAATATGAACACAGAGAAACCAAACACACAGGAGGAAGAGAGGGAGTTCCAGAAAGAAAGGACACAGACAGAGAGATAGAGAAAAGTCTGAGACAAAGGCAGGGACAGGATGAAAGGCATTGGAACGAACACTGAGAGAGAGAGGAGATTCTCCTCCGAGTCAGTAAACTTTACTGTCAGTGAACTTACATCCAGCATGTGCGAAGGAGCTGAGGGCCAGCAGGATGAGGAGCTTCATGGTGAGGCTGAGGTGAGGGTCAGTCAGTCAATTGTTCGAGGGTCTTTCTGAGGAGGGACACTGACAGGCTCACAGCACCTGCTTCATACACACAGTGAGCAAAGCCCAAGGCAGCAGCTCTCTCCCCAGTGCGAGCCAATCAGCAGGCTGGTCAAACAGGACAAGCAGGTTCAACTGGAGCAGTTCATCTCCTGCGTATCTTCCGCACCCAGCCCCAGGGCCTTGCCACAGCTTTACCTAACACTGTCATTCCACACACTGCAACAACACTGCAGTGGCTGGCAGAAAAAAACTTCCATTTACCTAGCACCATTCACATCCTCAGGAGGTCTCCAAACTGTTTTACAGCGAAAAAGCAGCGTTAGAATTGATGTTGAAATGTTATTAACATGGCAGTGAATTTGCAAACTCACTCCAAAAGCACAACAATAAAATTCAAGAACTGTGGATGCTGGAAATCAGAAACAAAAACCGAAACTGCTGGAGAAAATCAACAGGTTGGGCAATATCTGTAGAGAGAGGAACACAGTTCATGTTTGGGCTGACAGACCTGACAACCTACAGGATAACAAGGCCTCGATCTAACTTCTGATGAGAAATGTAACATCACCAACAGTGCGGCACTCCCTCAGTATTGACCCTCCGACAGTGCGGCACTCCCTCAGCACTGACCCTCCAACAGTGCGGCACTCCCTCAATACTGACCCTCCGACAGTGTGGCACTCCCTCAGCACTGACCCTCCGACAGTGTGGCACTCCCTCAGCACTGACCCTCCGACAGTGGGGCACTCCCTCAGTACTAACCCTCTGACAGTGCGGCGCTCTGTCAGTACTGTCCCTCCTGTATGAAACTGAATTCTGTCACGCCTCTCTGCAAATCCCTCACTCCCTCGATAGTGGGTCTTAACTTCAGCTGCTGAGGCTCCAAGTTCTGGATTTCACTCCGTCAGTATCTTTCTGCATATCTCTCTCTCTCTCCACTTTCAGAATCTCCTTAAAATCAATCTCTTTCTCTGTGTTGTTGCACATCTCTCCATGTAGAAGATCTTGTGGGATTCACTGGAGGTGAGTTGAGGAATTCTCCACTGTGCGCTGGAGAAGCATTATCCCATAACCACTGTTTTCTAAAACAGACAATCTGCTCATTATCACAATCTTGTTTGTGGGAGTTTGTCTGTGTGCTAATTGACTTCCCTGTTTTCTTCAGTTCAACACTGACTAGATTTTAAAACTCCTTCATTGGCTGGAATGTGTTTTGTTGTGAAATTTTGTTTGATATTCTCCCCGAATAGGCACACTGGGAGGTTTGACTGTGTCATGTGTTAAATCTCAGCCGGAAACAGGAAAATCCATCAAGGTTCCAAATACCCTCCACTGCTTCACCCAAATGGCTATTCACCGGCTCTCAGCATGTTCAGGCTATTCAACCTCAGTAGCATTACAGTTACAGAGCTGTTCCTGGCCTAACACACACAAGAGGTGAACACAATGCTTAAAGGATGCACACAGTAACACAATAAACATGACACAAATAACAAACATGTATAAAACACACATATGATCAACACAACGTGCACAGATGACACACTTACACAACACATACAGTCCACACACAGCATGTACACATGACATGTAAACATGATACACACCCACAACACAATGCACACATGATGGAGAGGCGATGTCCTAGTGGTATTATCGCTAAACTATTCATCCAGAGACCCCAGCTAACGTTCTCCGGACCTGGGTTCGAATCTCATCACAGCAGATGGTGGAATTTGAATTCAAGAAAAAATAATCTGGAATTAAGAAATTACTGATAGCCACGAAATCATTGTTAAGTGTCGGAAGAATCCATCTGGTTCACTAACGTCCTTCAGGGAAGGAAATCTGCCATTCTGAAGTGGTCCACATGTGACTCCAGACCCACAGCACAGTGGTTGACTCTCAATCACCCTCTGAAATGGCCTAGCAAGCCACTCAGTTGTACAAATCCTTACAAAGTCTCAAAGAAATGAAACAGGACGGGTCACCTGGCATCGACCTAGGCACCGGAAAAGATAAACGGCAGAAACAGCCCTGTTGACCCTGCAAAGTCCTCCTCACTAACATCTGGGGGTTAGTGCCAAAATTGGGAGAGCTGTCTCACAGACTAGTCAAGCAACAGCCTGACAAAGTCATACTCACAGAATCATACCTTACAGACAATGTCCCAGACACCACCATCACCATCACCATCCCTGGATATGTCCTGTCCCATACATATGAACAGACCCAGCAGAGGTGGTGGCACAGTGGGATACAGTCGGGAGGGAGTTGCTCCAGGAGTCCTCAACATTGACTCCAGACCCCATGAAGTCTGATGGCTTCAGGTTAAACATGGGAAAGGAAACCTCCTGCTGGTTACCACATACCGTCCTCCCTTAGCTGATGAATCAGTCTCTCCTCAATGTTGAACAACACATAGAGGAAGCACTGATGATGACAAGGGCACAAAATGTACTCTGGGTGGGGGATTTCAATGTCCACGACCGAGAGTGGCTCAGCAGCAGCATTACTGATCGAGCTGGTCGGGTCCTAAAGGACATAGTTACTAGACTGGATCTGCGGCAGGTGGTGAGGGAACCAACAAGAGGGAAAAACATACTTGACCTCATCCTTACTAATCCGTCAGCTGCAGTTGCATCTGTCCATGACAGTTTCGGTAAGAGTGACCATCGCACAGTCCTTGTGGAGACAAGTCCCACCTTCACATTGAGAAAAATCTCCATCGTGTTGTGTGGCACTATCACCGTGCTAAATGGGACAGACTTTGCACAGATCTAGCAACTCAAGACTGGGCATCCATGAGGCGCTGTGGGCCATCAACAGCAGCAGAACTGTACTCCAGCACAATCTGTAACCTCATGGCCTGGCACATCCCCCACTCAACCATTAACATCAATACAGGGGATCAACTCTGGTTCAATGGAGAGTGCAGGAGGGAATGCCAGGAGCAGCACCAGGCATACCTGAAGATGAGGTATCAACCTGGTGAAGCCACCAAACAGGTCTACTTGCATGCCAAACAGTGGAAGCAACAAGTGATAGACAGAGCTAATCAATCCCACAACCAATGGATCAGATCTAAGCTCTGCAGTCCTGCCACATCCAGTTGTGAATGGTGGTGGACAATTAAACAACTCAGTGGAGGAGGAGGCTCCACAAATATCCCCATCCTCAATGATGGAAGAATCGTAGAGTCATTGAGTTGTACAGCACAGAAACAGACCCTTCGGTCCAACTTGTCCGTGCTGACCAGATATTCTAAATTAATCTAGTCCCATTTGCCAGCATCTGGCCCATATCCCTCTAAACCCTTCCTATTCATATACCCATCCAGTTGTAATTGTACCAGCCTCCACCACTTCCTCTGGCAGCTCATTCCATACAGGCACCACTCTCTATGTGAAAATGTTGCCCCTTAGATCCCTTTTAAATCTTTCTCCTCTCACTTTAAACCTATGCCCCTCTAGCTTTGGACTCCCCCACCCCAGGAAAAAGACCTTGTCTATTTACCCTGTCCATGCCCCTCATGATTTTATAAACTTCTATAAGGTAACCCCTTAGCAGCAGTTCAAGAAGGCAGCTCACCACCACCTTCTCGAGGGGCAACTAGGGATGGACAATAAATGCTGGCCTAGTGATGCCCACACCCCACAAATGAATTTTGAAAAACTTGACATGCACATAAACATACACACACCGAAATGCACACACCACACACATATGCATGTAAGCATGCTCACACAGGGATGTTTTTGTCTCTATATTCATGTCCAAGTCTGTGGGAGATTTGAAAGGTTCCTGCCCCACCCTAAAGTCATTGAAAACTCCTGTAAGCTGTTGTCTGCAGGTGATTGCAGCTCAGATGGTGATGGTGATGGTGATGATATTTACAGGAAACTCTGAACATCCCCGTGCTGCTGTGTGCACAGATTCTGATTCAAACCCAGGACCATCACCTGCTGTGTAACTATCTGCTCATTCCAGTCAGGGTCTTTCATGTTCTGTATTCTCTCTCTTTCTCTTTGCCTTATGTTTTTATTCAATCCCTCCCTTTCTGACTCTGAATTACACTGCAATTACACAACAGGCCATTCAGCCCACCTGATCTGGTTTGCTGCTATCCTCTTCAGTGATCGAATCCCAAATTCCTGCTTGTTCCCTCAATCCCTCCTTACCTCAGTCACCTTCCCAACCTCCTATGAAACACTGGCGTGACTCACGGACTCCCTTATCCCATTCTCACTCTCCCTGAACCGAGGTGCACAGCTTGCTGGCATTTCCTAGCACCTGCAGCCTCCCCTTAGTCAAACTGCAGTCACACACCTCATTCCCCCAGAGCCATGAAACGCAAACTCATGTGAATGCTGCCCTTTGCAATGTGCCAGTGACGCTAAAGGGTGAGGTTCCTACAATCAGCAACATTCCAGAGATTCCTGATCCTTATGGCACCTTCAGGCAGCTCTTCGTAGCTCAGCACTCAGTGAGGGATAAGAATGCAGTTCCCTCCCTCCCATTCCTCAGTGCAACTCAGAGTGACACCACTCTGGGACCTGGAGAAATCAGTAACTCTCTCCACCATCATCCAGGAGCCTCTGTGAATTGAAAATTAATTCCCGGGAAACTACAGCCAAAGTCGTTCAGAACAATTCCAGCAGGAAAACAGTATGGTGTGCTTTAAGAAAGGTGAAATATTGCAGATACTGGAGAAACTCATTGAGTCTGTCAGCGTCTACGGAGAAAGAAAGAGCTAACGTTTTGAATCCAATTTGACCTTTCTTCGGAGCAGCAACTTTTGTTGATGTAGCGGATTTTGGTTTAGTTTAATTGAATGGAGGATAATTTAAGGTGCAGCATTAACTTGGCACAGAATCACTCACAACCAATCAGAAACGTGTGGGTTCAGGGCTCAGCTAACGTGGGAGGGACAGAGGCAGGGTGTGTGGGAGGGGGAGGGGGCTGGGCAGGGGAAGGTCAGTGCCTGGGATGGGAGGGGGAGAGATTGTGTGTGGGGAGAGGGACAGTGAGGAGGAGGGTCAGAGTGAGGGGGAGGGGAGGGTGAGGGAGGTGGTGTCAATATGAGAGAGGGGTGCATGTGGTGGGGAGGTATTG